AGAAAGAGAGAGATGTCCTTCAGAATGTCAGATATAGGAAGGAATGACTTTGGTCTTCTAGTGTAAGTATTTGAATCAAATACACATTGTGCATCATTATGAAGACAATACAAAGTCTGAAAATGATTTAGAATTTCCCAGTGAACTACATACTTTCCCAAAGTTTCTGGTTTTCCACATTTCTGTTAATAAAATAGCATGTTGATATCCTATGCACCAACAGTTTTTCACCATATCATGAATAAGAGGTAATAAGAGAGCATTTTTATTTTCCAAAGGAAAAAAAAAAAAGTACAACTTTAAAATTCATTTTCCTATAATGTGAAAGATGTTCCTTTGTGAAAAATAATTTGCTTTGCATTATTACTAATGTGTCTTACTGCTATATCCTAGTAATGATAATTACATAATAAAAAAAAATGTTTTTTGGGACCAGCAGTTGCTGTAATGGCTATGTCACTGGATTACCAAATAGTTGATTGCGTTTGAGTCCCAGATCCGGTGGCTTAAACTCACATCGGCTGCATGTGCTTGTGTGCCCAAGATCCTGAGAGGAGAATGGAGGAGAAGGGATTGTGGCATGGCCATCCTCACTGGGGGGTGATTTCTTGCTTTCTGTCTCTCTGTCTCTCTCTGTCTTTCACGTGCTCTGTAGCAAAAACCTCTCTAAAAAAAACACAAACAAACAAACAAAAGATGCTTTTATTGCTAGAGAGTACATCTACTTGCCGGAGAGAGAGACAGAAAGGGAAAAGAAAAAACACTTTCAAGTTGGCATAGTCATGGCACAATCTCTTCTCCTCCATTCCTCTATCCTGTGGAGATTTGAGGCAGTATATGCACATGTGCCTAGTATATTTATCAAACCACCACAGCCGGAATTTGAACTTCAGTCATCCATATGGGGTCTGGATTCCATAGTCACTAGGCTATGGGGCTGACCCAAGTACATGTTTTTAAGCTATAGTAAATAATAGCTGAAATATTAATTTTCATTTACTCAACTATATATAAATTTCACTATATATATGAATTTTCTTTATGAAATATATTGGAGATATATATATATTTTATTCTGGACATATATAATATATAATATAAATATATACTATATATCATATTTCTGTCCCAGATTCTAGTTCAGGTGACTTTTATCTGAAGAACCGTAAAATTTCCTTTACATGTATTCACTTACAGTATCACTGTACAGGATAACATTTCAACAAGACTCAGTGAGAGAGATGTGCCCCAAGTAATGAACACAATTTAGGAAAGTCATAATTATTTATTTAAGCAATCTGATATTATTAAATATATATTGATTTTTGACCAAATATTAAAAAATAGATGTTAGAATCTTTCCATGTAAATGTGGAAGAGACAATGTGGGAAAAAATTGAGATAGGTTGAAAAGATTGCTTATGGAAAGCACAGGGTATTCAGGATAGGTCATTCAAATTATTGCAATTGATGGTATTTAAATAGTGAAGTGTGCTTGGACAGGAGGAGGGTACCACCCGGAGGTCTAAATGTCAGGCTTAAGGATTGAAGTTTTATTTTGGAAACAATGCAGTGTTCATTATGATCACGCCATGGGGATATGAAAACTTTATGAATTTGTTACAAAAATTCAAAAAAGTTTTCTCTCTTTCTTTCTTTCTTTCTTTCTTTTTTTTTTTTTTTTTTTTTTTG